CAAAAGGTAAACTTGGTGCGCAGGGGAAGTGTATAAACTTCGGCGAACAGTAAATTTGCATAGTTTGGTTTCTTAATTGCCTTGAAAATGGGCTTCCGTTAACGAAAAGTTATGATCACAGGAGCCCAGCAATTGATAATAAACATTTTTGTAGGCTACATGAAAGAATGTCAAGTGTAAACAAATAAAATTGGAGGATGAAATGTATATATTTCATGGTTAGAAATTTTTGTATACAAAAAAAAGCCACAGGTTTATTGAGTGCTGTTTTTATTGGTTTCTGACACAAAGATTCATTCGCAGTGAGCGATGAGGTGTCTGTGCAATTATCGTCTAACTGATGGCCGGGCTTTTGGCCTGTTCGCGACGTTAATGCCGTGTTGGTCCTCTTGCAATCGCAGAGTTAGCGGGCTCTCGAATTGATGTGCCCCAATAAATTTTGGGGCTGCGGAGTCAACGAGAGGTGCGTGTCGATGTGAGGGGGTGAAGCACCCCGCCCCCCTGCTTCCACCTTCCACCGGGAAACCCGGCTGTCTGTTGCAGGGCAGGAAAATGGGAGCCGAGACCGCAGCTCCCCGCCCTTTTGCAGCCCGCAAAACCAGTTGACACATGTTGCAGTTAACATGGCAAGTGGATGTGGCATGGCTTGTATCCCGTGTGGAGGAGGCTTCAAATGCCAGTTCAGTGGACTCTGTTTGCGGTGCAAAGTGATTTGCCATTATAGCACCACCCACAATCCCTGTTCCGCTGAAACCACCAGCACCACCACCATCCCCCTTCCCACGGGACCGCTGTCTTTGGCACTTTGATCATTTGCCATTTGCCTGTTTGCGTTTTAATTAACTTACACTGGCTTAATGAACTCGCCGGGCCTTTTGGCCCAAACCCGAACCCGATGGAGAACCAAAGAGGCTGCTTATTAGCTCTTGACACGGTTCCCCGGCCATCGCATTGTGCTCCGTGCTCCGTGCTCCGGATATTCACTGGCCCGTTCGCAGATGTAATTGTCGTTGCGGCCATTCGATCTGATGGCCAACACCTTGCCCATAAGGCTTAGGCCACCTCGTAAGCCGCTTAACCGCTGAGCTCTTGATTTCCAAATGAAGTCGCTTGTCGGGGGATAAGTTGTTACGACTACAGCACATCCACAGGTCGAACATCTTTAATTCCTCGAATTTGAGCAGCAATTACAGTACTTTAACATCTCCGATGCTCAGGCATTTCAGTTTAGTCGAAAGCCCACAAGTAAAGCTGTCTGGTAAGTAAATTTGTGTTAACCCTAAAGGTAAAATAAATTCTAAACATTAAAGTACAAGTAATTCCCTATAAATTAGCAGTGGTAAAAACGGAGTATTAATTACGTACCTATGTATTTATAGTTCTTTATTTATATAATAACTAACACATACATTAAAATGTCATTAGGTTTTCCTTGACCATAATTTCGTACCTAATCTCATTCTTACTATTTACCCAAAAATATCGCAGCTCTACCATTAATAGGACTTTGCAGTTAGAGGAAAATGTATTATAGGAATGCAGGAAAAACATTCATTAATTTCATCAATTGAATTTGCATGTTTCCATCGTCGGAATTAATGGTTTCTCGCTAATTTTCCTAGAATGTTTTCCAATAAAAAGAGGGCTCGAAGGATGTCAATTTTTTCGACAGCTTTTCCTATTTGCACTTCAGCCCTCGGCGGCCTGTCAAACATTTGATTTGGCCTCGGTCTAAGCTCGTCGGAAGGCCGTTGGCCACTTGAGAAGAAGAATGGCTCTCGACAGGAAAGCGTTTGAATTGTACGGTCATTCGAGTGGAATTTAAAGATTAGTGGACTCGAGATGGACTCGCCTAATTGGGCAGCTTGTTAAAGGGCCCTGACTGGCCGTAGCCATTGAACTTGAAGTTGTGCCAACTTTTGCGAAGGGAAACAGCTGCTGGCTGGGAAAACTTTTCGCCCACTTACGCCCGAGTTTTAGCCCCATAAATTTACATATTAGAGCGGGCCAGGAAGCAGCACAAACATAGTTGATCCAATTAACTGACTAAGAATCACTTAGAACGAAAGTTTAGCCCCGCTCTCGACTCCACTTCACATCGCTTTGAGGCATCAAAGTTATCCCTTTAAATGCCTTCTCAATCCAATCCTCAAGTGCTCCACTGCGGAGGGTCCTTCCTGCGAGTCCTGCCACTCACACATGCTCTCAATTTCATTGTCCTGCGGTCGCTCCAAAGGAAGTGCGACTGCGGACTTTTGACGATACAATTTGTATTCATTGCCACTTTAATATTTAGCCATGCGTAAGCCGCTGTCAGTCACTTTATTGCGGAGTGATTTTGTTTCTTTTTTTCTCGCTCCCTCTGGATATTTTCACTCAGTTTTTTCCAGTGATTTTAAGTGCAATAATTTGCATTGCCACTGACACGATATCAGTGCGAAGTGCAGTGTGCTTCCAGCTGGCACTCACCGCCAATTGACGAAACAAACATGCTAGTTGAACATGTCAGAAAAAACGACTGAATTTAAATTGCCAGAGAGCTATTTGAATTAACACTTCCGAAAATGTTCGCAATAATGGCTGCATTTTTATCATTTACCAAAGAAACACAATCCGATTTTCATGTCTGTTTGGTTGACTGAATGGCGAGTGAATAAAAAATTCGTACGTATATTGGTCGTTAAAAATATTTATATTTTAAATACACATATTTCTTGCAAATTAAGCAGGCACACAAAATATAATATACTCCAATTCAAGTAGATGGGTTTTAATAATATGGTTTTATTTATTTAAGTTACGTTTTCTGAAACAAATATTTTATATATTTTTTAAGTAAAATCCTTCAGTTCGCAGAATTAAACACAATTAAGGGCTCAGAAAAATGTAAAAGTTTTGATACCCAAATGTTGCAGTCCCCTCGCTCGTTTTTTATCCTTTGACAGGAAACCCTTCTTCTTTGCATTGCAACTCATTAAAAATGTTAAAGCGGCAACAACAAAGCTGAACAAACGGCAAAGGAGGAAAACGCGCGGAGGGAGGGGCGGTGGGAAATCAGGGAAAGATGCCAGGGCAAATGGAGGAAAAGGAAAAGCCTGCGAATGAGTCAAGGTGAGCACACTCACTTTGGGCCAGAGATCCGTTTTGGCAGGCAAATGAAGCCGGGGTCCGGACCTCCAAAGATGCTCCCACTCCCAGGAAAACTAAAGGATGCGGAGGAGGAGGAGAGAAAAACAACCCATATCCACCTTGCCGAATGCATTTCCTCTAGACTTTCGCCTCGCTTCCTTTGTTTATTTGCTCAGTGCGTTTTCAGTTGACTGCACTGCTTGTCGTGGTTCGGAAAAACGGGGGAAAGTCGGTGGGAAAGTCACGGAAAAGTCGCGACTGAGCGGGCAGGGAATGCAATAAGTCACCGATTGGCGACAGGCTGCACAAATGTGTGGCCTAGTGCGAAAAAGCATTGCGTACATATAAATGGGTTACCAGCGCAAGGCTGCCGGAGGCATATTACGTATACGTACTGTTGCCCGGCGTAATGGAAAGCCATAAAAACGATTTATGGCAGTGCGAAAGAGATGGCATCTGGGCCAAAATGGGGTTGACCAAGGTCAGCAACCAGTATGGACTTTGGCCCGATATTTTATTCTCCTTGATTTGTTATGGTAATTATATGGCTTTTAATGAACTAAAAGAAGGTTCTGTAAACGAGATCCTATAACTATCTGAACCAAATAAGTTTCCCATATATGGTGTCTGTGTTACATGTTTTCCAATTTACCCAAGAAGTTTACCACTGTAACTTTCCATTATCTTTTATCCACACAATTGATTGAGTTTGGGGATTTGTAGATATCATTAGCTGTCCCACATGACATTTGTGTGTGTCCCTGTCTGATTTAGCCATTTATATTCACATTCCCCCATTCCCCTGGTGCCCCGAGTTTCCTTGGATTCAGCTGGGGTTGGGTTGCAATTAATCGTTGAAAGGATTACACGCCCCTCAGAGGAACTCGGAGCGGTCGGCCTGCCTTTGCCTCTCATCTGGCCACTTAAGTGATGCTAATTTATGGCCCCGGCACATCTTGTTTGTTTGTCGTCTCCGATGACTGAGCCATTCCCCAGGGACTTTTTCCCTGACTTTGCTCGTTTGCCGCTCAGCTTGTCCGGTGCCCTTTTCACCAGGAGTTGTGCGGTAAGTTTTTAAGCCGAGATTAGGCGGCATTGTTGCCAGGTTTGTAGAACATTGCATGCAGCTTGTCGTTCTTATTTCAACACGATAGCTAGAAAATCGGAAAATATTATTAACAAGCATTTTATTTTAAGCTTTTTCGAATTTATGAGGCGTAGCAATTGATTATGACCACAACAAATGGTCTTTAAAAGCTGATTTATTTATAAGCCTGTTTTATTTTGAGCAGAGTGTTCTTCATAAGTTAACTGAAATGAATGGCATTAAGTCAGGACAAGGGATACCTCTTGTGTTATCCATTTGCATTCCGCTTTCATCCCATCAATTTCAACTGTTTGTTATTGTTGTTGTGGTTGCGACACCAAATTGCAACCGCATCCGAATCCGACCGCCTAATCAACGTGTGACTCGCACACTAATGAACTACGGCCGCCAATTAGCCAATGACCACGCCCACCGCCGCCTCCCCTTTGACCCGCGATCGACCGCACAAGATTGAGTGGCACTAACCGGGCCAACAATACGGTTGACCCGTCCATTTAATGGCCCCGACTGTCATCAGTCAAAGGAGAGCGAAGGTCCTTTGTGCAATCCTCGAAGTGCTCCAGTGTCATGCCATGCAGGATGTTGGCCATAATGGACAAGTGAGCACTGCTCTAGCTACTCCACTTGAATGTTCCGCACACAGTACTTGGAAATTTAATATTAAACATTTCGCAGCTTGGCAATTTCACGGCATTAAACGAATATGGAGAAGAATTTATGTGACCATTTATTTCAGGCTGATATTCAATAATATTTTGCTGGTAATAAATCAAGAAGTTTATCTTAATAATTTACTCTCAAGTCAGAATTAATGGTTAGCCAATTGGTAATACAATTGATAATACATACTCAAGTCAGGATAAATGGTAAAGTTAAAGCAACTATAAATTTAATTCCAGCAAATAAAAAATTAACTCATAAGAATACTATTTATATTTTCAGCCGTAGTGTAAACCATTAAAAACAAACAATCCGATGTGTGTAAAATCAATTTCCCCGCCTTTTAAGGAACCCACCAACTAATTACAGACTGAGGCTAAATCCAAATCAAAATGTTTGTTGGGTCCTGCATACTAGTGATCTTACTCTCGCAGAGCAGCGAGGGAATCCACAACGGAGTGGACGCCCGGTTCGACTTCTGGACCTTTGTGGCCTCGCTGCGGATCAACGGGTACCACGAGTGCGGTGGCTCGGTGATCGACAGTCGCATCATCCTGACCGCAGCGCAGTGCGTAAAGGATATTCCGGTGGGTAAAATTGCCGTCCGAGTGGGAACGCCGGATGTCCGCAGAGGCGGGAAGATCATCAAGGTGGCGGCGATGGCGGTGCACGAGAACTACGGCGAGTTGAAGAACGATATTGCACTGCTGTGGACCAGGTCGTCGGTTTTAACGACGGGAGTGACCACCGTTAAACTGGCCGACAAGGAACCCGTCGAAAATGAGTTCCCAAGCAACGCGGGATGGGGCGAGAAGCAACTGGAGACCTTCGGTTCGACCAAAAAGCTGCAGAATGGAGTCACCAAGGTCCAGAATCGATCTATGTGCAGCGACGAGCTGGACGAACAGGTTGGCGCAGACCTGCTCTGCACCTTCTACCACCAGAACGACATCTGTCCAGGTGACTACGGAGGTCCCATGATCTTTGCCAACCATTTGGTCGGCATCGCGGTGCAAGGACACGGCTGCGGATACGTCGTCCTGCCTTCCCTCTACACGAATGTCGCCCACTTCCGCAAATGGATCGATGCCAAGTCAGAGGAGCTCAAGAAAAATAAATAATAAAATATTTAAAAAAGTTATAAATAATAAGTTTTTGTTTTACAGACGAATTGTCATCAGATTCAAAGCGAACTTAATCTATACCTTATTTCTCTTGATAAATTATTTAGACTTTCGTTGTAATTATTTTTAAGCTTTCGCGTTTTCTGTGTAAAAATTACTTAAAATTATTTCTTGCATCTTTTGTCTTTGCATATATGCTGTAAAAATCGCTGAAATAATTAATTTAAAAAATCTAAGAAACTTTTCATAAGACTAAATAATACTCACCGCCCAGCAAGGAGCCAAGAATAACAAGCTTCGATAGAAAGTATTTCCCCCTTGGGTTTTTATGCTCTTGAAGTGCCTCCAGCCTTTCCGGACACTTGGGACAGAATGGCCTAGGCTGAGTATCTCTTTCCTTAACCACTTTTTCCAAGCTGGAAAGGGAAACCGAACCAGAATTGGTCAACGAAATTGGTTTGGGCTCCAGCCGAACATGAATTGTTTTTGAGGAGATGTCACTGCGGGAAACTCTCCTGAAAATGGCTACAGTCGCCTCGCCATTGATGTGATCTCGAGGTTCGTACATGGACTTGATGCAAAAGTGATGAGGGGGAATCCAAATCCGCACAATAATCGAAGTTATTCAGACTAATGATGACTTCTCGAGTGCAGTAGGGTTCTAGCTTTCCGGCATTGGGACTCACGTGGTAGTGATCCCAGGCATTTGATGTTACCTATATCAAACACCCAATGGTTTTTACAATATGAAGAAAAAACCCATTCACCATCTCACCTTAAACAAAACCTGCCTATTGGTGGGATTCAGTAGAATCAGCATCCTCCGTTGACTCCGATCATATGGGGCATAAAAGGTCAGCAGTTGCGGATTCACGCTGAGCAAGTCCATCCTGAATCCCTTCGAAAAAAAACTCCCTTACCAATTGATTTGAGCCTGCTTCTCGTTTTGTTTTCCCCCTTTTTCGAAGGCAACCGAAATGTGTCGGAATATGCCAGCAATCGGAATGTTTTTGACAGCATTTGCATACGCTGCCCATCGATCCGAGTGCAGTGCATGTTTTTGCATTTATTGCCACCAGCTGCCGCACCCCAAATAGTCTGTTCCCCTTTCCCTCCCGCCTCTCCTCCCTTCTGCCACTCCCTTCCGCCTGCCCGAATTGCTCCACTTGCTCCACATCGCTGACCACAGCTGGAGGCATCATCACGCATTAGCATTAGGCACTTTCCATGTTCGGGGCAGCGCTTTGAAATTATTTGCAATCCATTGCACTTGTTCTGGCCACCAAGCGATTCCCGCTGCCGAACGGATGATGAACCCGCCTGTCCGACTGCCCTTTTGGGCCATTTATTACCCGGCGGAGCACTGGTTCTGCCCAGCAATTGATGACGCCATATGCGCGATGCTCCGGATAAATAATGACAGCGGGGGTGCTAGGATTGATTCACTGATTCAATTCTTCAGCTACATCTATTTGGGTTTTACCATTCGGGGGAGTAATAGTTGTTTTATGGAACGCCATGAAATATTACCAGAATTGTTGGTAAAGATCGGTTAAAGATAAAAAGTATTAAATTTAGATTTAAAATGTAAGCTAGAAGTAATCTCTTCAATATCATATTTTATCAGATGTCCTTCAAAGAGCTTATTTATTTCTAAAGTCCCTAATCTCTTAAATAGTTATTTCATTTCAATTATTCTTAAGTAGAGTAAATTCAATAAAATTCATATTCAATCCCCATTTAAAACATATGAGTTGCCCCTTTCGGGGTGAACAAAAAACATTTATTTTTATTTTAAACTTCCACCTGTCAATGAATGTACTTTTTCTTTTTGTAATTCTTCTGACTGATTCTTCCACTTGCCATTGATATTTCTACCAGCCTTCAGCCATTGACGATGTCGTGGATCAGCTTCCTGTAGTCGACCAGTCCCTGTTCGTTGATCCTGCCCTTGAGCAGTTCGTCCACCTCGAAGGCGCTCATCCTCTCGCCGCACTGGCCAAGAATCCGGCGGAGTCTAGCGGCGGACAGGAGCCCGGAGTTGTCCGTGTCGAAGAGCCGGAGGCAGTCGGCGAATTGGTCCGCCTCGATCCGCTTCTTCTCGGGAGTCGACCTGCAGCCGTGCTTGCCGAGATTGCTGTAGATGGCCATCACCTCGTCGAAGGACACGCGCTCCAAGGATGCGGCCTGCAGTTGACGGACGTGTTTGGTCACCACCGCCTCCGTGGGATTGGCGCCCATCACGCGGAGACAGTCGCCCAGGTGGCGAATGGATATCTTGTTATCGCCACGGGTGTCGTGCCCCAGGAAAATCGCATGCAACTCCAGGATGCGGCTCTTCTCCGGCTTTCGATTTGGAGGAGGAGGAGCAGAAGGATTGGAAGGAGAAGGAGAAGGCGAGGTGGCTGTCTTGCGGCTCTTCTTTCCTTGATTGAAGTTTGCTGGCTGGGATGACGGATGATGGGATGATGAGGGGTTGAGTTGATTGCCTGCCGCGGACATCTTTGGCCAGGTTTAGATTACGAGTTACGGATTACGGATCACGAGTTACGGATTACGAGTTACGGGTTACGGACTACGGAACGAATCTATTGGTTTTCGTTATTGGGGGACACACATGGCTGGGCCAAACGGAAAACAATGATTGGAAGACACAGAGATGTGGTTATGCCGAACATGCTGACAGGTGAAAGACGAATGACTTGATCCGGATTTCATTTGAGAATGTTGAATGAATGCAGGAGATGATGGATGGAAGTTTGAATCGAGCTTGAAAACAAACTCAGAACATAATTAGTTTTTCTTTCTTTGTATTCTTTCAGCGGTGTAATTGCAATCACTATTTTAAAAGTGGTAATACATCAGAATTCCTAAAGATAGTTTAATTTCATAATCATGTCGCAACAGACAGCTGTTCATTAACTTTTATGTGGCGTCTTACCTTTTGAAATATTTCTCACAGATAAGACGAAGTACAATGGCAGTGAAGCCAATGATATTGCAGTGCTCGTCCTGAGTTCGCCCATTCCTCGGACAAATTGTACCGAAACCATCGATTTTGCCAGCGAAACTCCTCAGGCAGGAAGTTGGGCTCTCACCACTGGATGGGGACAAATTGTGGATAGTATTAACGGTTTTTATCCCGAAACTTTGAAGGGAGCCTACGTCTTGATCGAAGACCACGAGAGCTGCAGAAAAGCCTATGACAAGAAATGGGCATGTGGACCAAATACGACTGTAACCAACGAAATGGTTTGTGTCCATGGAAAAAATCAAGGACCTTGCAGAGGTGACTCCGGAGGTCCTTTGGTTAGCATTTCCGATAAGCAGCTAATTGGCATCACTTCGTGGTCTGTCCACTGTGGTCATCCGTACTTTCCGGACGTCTTCACGGATGTAATTGTGCTCAAGGATTGGATTCTGCGCACAGTTAGTCGCTTTAATCACTAAAGATTTTAACAGATGAATGAAATAAACAAGTTGGCCTAAGTTAAAAGGCTATATTTTTACTCCATGTTAAATTTTTTTGTTTGAAAGAAGCACATTTAATATTTTATTTTTATTTTTACCAATAAATAAGATTTTGCTCCTTTGAGCCATTCTTTTTCACAACTTTTTTGCTTTTAAAGAAATATTATAGTGGTGAAGTCAGATTTTTCAACTCACAATAATAATAATTTATTTCGAAATTCGATGGTAGTTAAAAAACACCATCTAAAAAAAATCAAGTTGATATGATCAAATCAACGAAGTAATATTTTTATTTTCCTATCCTATAGACTACACAACTTTTGAAAATGTTTCAGCAAGAAAGCTTTAAAACTGAGAGACTAGTTAGCGAACAAAAGGGCAGACGGACAGACGTACAGACATATTTCGATTCAGATCGTGATGCCGATCGAGAATAAATATACTTTATGGGGTTTGAAGTTTCTCCTTCACTGCGTTAAAAACTTCTGTCTGAAATTCTTATACCCTCTAGAAGGGTATAAATACCAGATATTGCAGCATAAAAAATAATGCAATATTGTTGTTCTTTACATTTAGAAATTTTAATTTGAGCATGTCCATTTACATATTTATTTATTTACTTATTTATTAAGGAATTTAACCGATATTCTCTGTAACTGTGCTGTTGATCCAATCGATTAGAGAAACAGTGTTCACGTACCCTCCACGGCCTTCTTCATGAACGTCGGTGCCCATGGAAACTATACCGATGAGCTTAAAGTCGGTTAATCTAACCAAAGGTCCGCCAGAATCACCTTGACATACTGTTCCCCTGCGAGTGTCGGTGCAAATTACATCAGAAGTTTCCTCTTCACATTCAACGACTTGCACATGGACCCCTTTGTAGTATTGGCCAACTGAAGTTAGCATCAAAATTTGTACAACCCCATCCTGTGACCAAGGTCATATTTCCGACCGGGGGGGTTTCATCAGCAATATCTATTTTTTGCACACGGCTGTTGAACTTGAGGGGTGATTCCAAAATGAGCACAGCAATGTCGAAAGGAACAGTTTCAAATACGTATTTCGCATGGGGTATAGCTTTCAGAACCTTCACCACCTGACCCCCTTTTTTCAAAACCGAGGATCCAGCGCGGATTGACAAATCTTCTAGTTTTTTGCCAACGACACAGTGAGCGGCAGTCAGAATAACACGATCACTTTGTATGGCTCCACCACAAATGTGGAACATATTTTTTAACAACGACACTTGCCAAGGGACATATTCTATGAGAATAGCGTGGCCTCCAATGATCCTTTCCTCCGGTCTGGAATCCCGAGCAGCGGATAGTAGACCAAAAATTGATAATGAAGTTATACACTTGAAGTACATCTTAGCTTTGTTGTGTCCGAGTTTGCTGTCTTTAAGCTCCTTCCTTTTATAGGAGTACTTATATTAAAGATATCAGTTAATTAGGGGTGGAAAAAATTACCTCAGTATCTAAACTATTTGTAGTTTGATAATTAAATAGGTCTGTTATTTTTTTTTTGTAACTGTTTCCTATCTACTTCGTAAATCAAGTTGTATAATGACTTTTTCAATTAGTTCGCAGAAACTTTTTCTTCAAACTAGTCTCTCAATTTTAAAGCTATTTTACTGAAACTTTCCCAAAAGGTGTGCAGTTATTGCACGTAGTATAAAATTCGGAACGGGTCGGATCGGGCGATTATTCGGATAGCTCCCATACGAAAGATTAAAAAAAATAATATTACTCCGCTGTTTTTGATCAGTTTGACTTGATTTGTTCCATATCGCGTTTTCTAACTAGTATTGAATTTCGTATAAAATTTTATCAAAATCGGATAACTCTATCATATAGCTGCCATAGGAAAGATCGAAAAAATATTTATAAATAATGGATAAAAAGTTATATCGTCGTTGTTTTTAATCCCACGAGCATGATTTTCAAAATGTGCAGTTTTTTATTAACCCTTGAATCGAGAAAAAAATTCCATTAAATAGAAAAGATCGAAAAATCTATATAGAAATAATGGAAATAAAATTATAACATGATTTCGGAATATAGAGTTTTCTAACCACTCTTGAGTTAAGAATTATATTTCATTAAACTATATCATATAGCTGCCATATGAACAATAGTCGAAAATATGGGAAATTAACAGAAAAAACCTCTCAGCTTCGATGTTGTTTAGCCTTTATGTATTTTGTTCGACACATTTGATGAGTGCAAGGGTATATAAGCCTCGGCGAGCCGAAGCTAGATTCCTTTCTTGTCTTTCTTTCTATTCTTTCAGAAATGTAATAGCAATCGCCAGTTTAAAAGTGGTAATACATCAGAGTTCTACAAGATAATTTAGTTTCATAATTATGACGCAACAGACAGCTGTTCATTAACTTTTATGTGGCGTCTTACCTTTTGAAATATTTCTTACAGATAAGACGTTTAGAAAACCATTTATAATTTAAGTACCAATTGCAATCTTTCCTGGTGCTATAAAAGAGGAACCTCATTTCCATTTGGAGTACAGAAATCAAATCAACTTCAACATGTTTCTGTTGAGTTTGACCTTAGTCCTCGGAGTTGTGCTCCTGTCGGCAGGACGTGTTCCTACACCGGATCAGCGGATCGTTTGTGGTTTTGAAGAGGACATAGAATCGTCGCCTTGGCAAGTGTATTTGCACATAAATTCGTCGTCTTGTGGTGGAGTCCTATACAAGGATAACATCGTTTTGACAGCTGCACACTGTATGGAAGGGTATAAAGCTGCTGATATATCAGTGTACTACGGCTCTTCGAAATGGCAATTGGGTCAAGTGGCGAACGTGTCGGAAGTTATAGTTCACGAGGATTATAACCCCAAGAAGAACAATGGCAGTCAAGCCAATGATATTGTAGTGCTCGTCCTGAGTTCGCCTATTCCTCTGACAACTTCTGCCAAAACCATCGACTTGGCCAGCGAAACTCCTCGTGCAGGAAGTTGGGCTCTTACTACTGGATGGGGAAAAACTGAGGATACTCAGAACGGTTCTGCGCCCGAATTTTTAAAGGGTGCGTACGTTTTGATCGAAGATCACGAAAGTTGCCGAAAAGCCTATGACAAGAAATGGGCATGTGTGCAATCAAATACCACCACTGTAACCAACGAAATGGTTTGTGTCCATGGTAAAAATCAAGGACCTTGCAGAGGTGACTCCGGAGGTCCTTTAGTTAGCGTTCCCGGTAGGCAGCTCATTGGCATCACTTCCTGGACTGCCTACTGTGGTCATCCGGTCTTTCCGGACGTCTTCACAAATGTAGTTGTGCTCAAGGATTGGATTCTAAGCACAGTTAGCCGCTTTAATCATTAAAGATTTTAACAGATAAACGAAATAAACAAGTTGGCCTTATAAAAAATATTTTTACTCTGCACACAATTTTTTTGTTTGAAAGAACCAGATCTAAAATATTTAATTTTTTTTTTCCAAAAAATAAGATTTTTCTACTTTGATTTTTTAGCTCAAGACCAAGAAGTGAGAAGTAACGCTTTTCGAGTTTTAATTTTCATGGTTAGCAGACTGTAATTTAACATCGATAAAAACATGAAAGAAAGCTAGCTTCGGTAAGCGGAAGCTTATATACCTTTGCAGTCATCAAATATTTCGAACGAAATTCATAAAGGCTAAACAACATGGAAGCTATGACGATTTTTCTATTAATTTTCCATATTTTCAACTATGGTTCGTATGACAGCTATATGATATAGTCAGATTTTGATGAAATTTAAATTAATTCAAGAGTCCTAAAAAAAGTCTAAATTCCAGAAATCATGAATGTCTAATAAATAAAAACGACGATGTTATCATTTTATTTGCCTTAATTCTATATAGATTTTTCGATCTTTCGTATGGCAGCTAAATGATATATGTTCGTTGAAGTTGCAGAGAGAACTAATAAAAAATAATGCAATATTGATGTTTTTTAGAGTTAGACATTTTTATTTGAGCATGTCCATTAACATATTTATTTATTTGTATATTATGGAATTTAACCGATATTCTCTGTAACTGTGCTGCTGATCCAATCGATTAGAGAAACAGTGTTCACGTACCGTCCACGGCCCTCTTCATGAACGTCGGTGCCCAAGGAAACTATGCCGATGAGCTTAAAGTCGGTTAATCTAACCAAAGGCCCGCCAGAATCACCTTGACATGCTGTTCCCCTGCGAGTGTCGGCGCAAATCACATCAGAACCTTGGTCTCCACAATCAATGACTGCCACATGGACCCCTTGTAGTATTGGCCAACTGAAGCTAGTGTTATACCGTGTACAACCCCATCCTGTGACCAAGGTCATGTTTCCGACCGGGGGGGTTTCATCAGCTATATCTATTTTTTGCACACGGCTGTTGAACTTGAGGGGTGATTCCAAAATGAGCACAGCAATGTCGAAAGGAGCAGTTTGAAATACGTATTTCTCATGGGGTATGGCTTTCAAAACCTTTACCACCTGACCTCCTTTTTTCAAAAGAGAGGATCCTGCGCGGATTGACAAATCTTCTAGATTTTCGTTTTCGAGGCAGTGACCGGCAGTCAGAATAACCCGATCACTAAGTATGGCTCCACCACAAATGTGGGACGTTTTTCTTAACAAGGACACTTGCCATGGGACGTGTTCGATGAGAATAGCGTGGCCTCCAATGATCCTTTCCTCCGGTCTGGAATCCCGAGCAGCGGATAGTAGACCAAAAATTGATAATGAAGTTAAACACTTGAAGTACATCTTTCTGTCTTAAAGCTACGAGTTGTGCCTCCCTTTTATAGGACTACTTCCATTAGGGTTATCAGTTCTGTATCTAAACTATTTGTAGTTCAATAACTAAAGAAGTCTGTTATTATTTTGTGTAACAGTTTCCTATCGTTTTCGTAAATCAAGTTGTATAATGACTTTTTCAATTAGTTCGCTGAAACTATTTAACACTATAACTCATAGCTATACGTAATGTATAATGTATCTTTATTTTCCTTTATATATAATTCAGAACGGGCCAGATCGGGAGACTATATCGGATAGCTCCCATATGAGAGAATGAAATAAAAATTGATCAGATCGACTTGATTTCTTCCAGGTGGCGTAATATAAGCTAGCTTATATAGCTCGGCGAGCCGAAGCTAGCTTCCTTTTTTGTCTTTCTTTCTATTCTTTCAGTGTAATTTTAATCACCATTTTAAAAGTGGTAATACGTCAGAATTCTAAAAGATAATTTAGTTTCATAATCATGACGCAACAGACAGCTGTCCATTAACTTTTATGTGGCGTCTTACCTTTTGAAATATTTCTTACTGATAAGATGTCTAGAAAACCATTTATAATTTAAATACCAATTGCAACCTTTCCTGGTGCTATAAAAGAGGAACCCCAATTTCAGTTCGACTACCGAAACCTAATCGACTTCAACATGTTTCTGTTGAGTTTGTTCTTAGTCCTGGGAGTTGCGCTCCTGTCGGCAGGACGTGTTCCCCCACCGGATCAGCGGATCGTTTGTGGTTTTGAAGAGGACATAGTGTCATCGCCTTGGCAAGTGTATTTGCACATAAATTCGTCGTCTTGTGGTGGAGTCCTATACAAAGATAACATAGTTTTGACGGCTGCACACTGTATGGAAGGGTCTAAAGCTGCTGATGTATCAGTGTACTACGGCTCTTCGAAATGGCAATTGGGCCAAGTGACCAACGTGTCAGAAGTTATAGTTCACGAGGATTATAACCGCACGAAGAACAATGGCAGTTTTGCCAATGATATTGCAGTGCTCGTCCTGAGTTCGCCTATTCCTCTGACAACTTCTGCCAAAACCATCGACTTGGCCAGCGAAACTCCTCGGGCAGGAAGTTGGGCTCTTACCACTGGTTGGGGACAAATTGTGGATAGTATTAACGGTTCTTATCCCGAAACTTTGAAGGGAACCTACGTCTTGATCGAAGACCACGAGAGTTGCAGAAAAGCCTATGACAAGAAATGGGCATGTATGCAATCAAATACCACCACTGTAACCAACGAAATGGTTTGTGTCCATGGTAAAAATCAAGGACCTTGCAGAGGTGACTCCGGAGGTCCTTTGGTTAGCGTTCCCGATAAGCAGCTGATTGGCATCACTTCCTGGACAGTCCACTGTGGTCATCCTTTCTTTCCGGACGTCTTTACGGATGTAGTTGTGCTCAAGGATTGGATTCTAAGCACAGTTAGTCGCTTTAATCATTAAAAATTTTTTGTTTGAAGGAACCATATCTAAAATATTTAATTTTTTTTGCCAATAAATACGATTTTGCTTCTATGAGCTATTCTTTTTTAAATAACTTTTTTGCTTTTAAAGAAATGTGATAGTGGTGAATTCTGATTTTTCAGATAATAGTTGATGGTTCGAGTTTTAATGTTAATGCTTAATTAATTTATATTTAATTATTTATATATATATTTTTTCCTATTTCCTATGGCAGCTGACCGCTCACATAGCAATAACAACAGAAATTCGGCTCCCCGGACCTGCACACCCTCACACACAAATTTTTTAATCCGCTTGTGATAAAATTTAATTCGAAAATCGACAGTAGTTAAAAAACACCATCTGAATGAAATCAAGTCGATATGATCAAAAACAACGGATTGATAATTTCTTTTTTTCAATCTCTCGTGTGGGAGCTATCCGATATATAGGAGCTAATAAAAATTAATGCAATATTTCTGTTTCTCTTACATTTAATTATAAACCTTAAAACAATTTTATTTGAGCATGTCTATTTACATATACATATGTATATTTATTTGTATATTAAGGAATTTAACCGATATTCTCTGTAACTGTGCTGCTGATCCAATCGATTACAGAAACAGTGTTCGCATAAAAACCACGGCCGTCCTCATGAACGTCGGTGCCTCTGGAAACTATGCCGATGAGCTTAAAGTCGGTTAATCTAACCAAAGGTCCGCCAGAATCACCACTACATGCTGTTCCCCTGCGTGTGTCGGTGCAAATCATATCAGGATTTTCGTTTTCACATTCAACGACTTTCACATGGACCCCTTGTAGTATTGGCCAATTGAAGTTAGCATCAAAATTTGTACAACCCCATCCTGTGACCAAGGTCATATTTCCGACCGGGGGGTTTCATCAGCGATATCTATTTTTTGCACACGGCTGTTGAACTTCAGGGGTGATTCCAAAATGAGCAAAGCAAAGTCGAAAGGTACACTTCCATGTACGTATTTCTCATGGGGTATGGCTTTCAGAACCTTCACCACCTGACCTCCTTTTTTCAAAACCGAGGATCCAGCGCGGATTGACAAATCTTCTAGTTTTTCGTTTTCGAGACAGTGACCGGCAGTCAGAATAACCCGATCACTCTGTATGGCTCCACCACAAATGTGGGACATTTTGCTTAACAAGGACACTTGCCAAGGGACATGTTCGATGAGAATAGAGTGGCCTCCAATGATCCTTTCCACCGGTCTGGAATCCCGAGCAGCGGATAGTAGACCAAAAATTGATAATGAAGTTAAACACTTGAAGTACATCTTTCTGTCTTAAAGCTACGAGTTGTGCCTCCCTTTTATAGGACTACTTCCATTAGGGTTATCAGTTCTGTATCTAAACTATTTGTAGTTCAATAACTAAAGAGGTCTGTTATTATTTTGTGTAACAGTTTCCTACCTTCTTCGTAAGTCAAGTTGTATAATGGCTTTTTCAATTAGTTTGCTGAAACTATTTAACATGTCTTGAAATGTAACTGATACGTAATGTTTAGTTTATCTTTATTTTGCTGTGTAACAAAAACCAAGTCCTGTGGTTCGGTTTCAAGAAATCGTTCAGCTATGAATTTCCAACATCCAGGACACCTGTAATTGACCCGAACTAATATTCAAAACCAGGACGTTGCCCGAACTGTTTGTCAGTGATGTCGTTTTAACATTTTGTGGACAGTGCTTGCTTTTTTTAAATTCTAGAAATTTTCACAGATCATTTGTACCTCGGAATTATATAGTCATCAAAAATATCTGACTATCTTTAAATTGGTTTTAGTAATTCCTAATTTTTCCCAGTTACTCTGTTGACACAGTTAAAGAACCTTAGGTTTGCATTTGCCAGAACTTCTCATTCGAAGTTGCTGATGAAGTTATCGTGGATGAGCAGCTTTCGACTGCACCGATGAACAGGTGGATTGGCATCGATGTCCTGGTCTCCTGTGAGTCCTCCGTGCGAGTTCACCAGGTTTTCAGCAGGGTTTTTGCACCGCCCCCCTGCTCATAATGCACTTTGCATGTAAAATATTTAATTAAATGAAAAATAGCAAAGCCCAGAGGAGGCGAGTCGCCTCCCTTTGGTTACCGTGGCATCGGCATCCTTGCGAGCTCGCATCCTGGGGAGGGCCACAAAAAAAAAGTTTATTTGTTTCGTGGTTGCCTCAGTCAGTCTTCATTTATTGTAAATGAGTTTGCCCGGACAGGATGGCCGGGTTCCGGGGTTCCGGAGGAGGGAAAGGATGCATATATGCATTCGGGGCCGAAGGACGCATATTGAATAAGACTGCTCTGCACGCAAATGGCATTCCAATTCAATTGCGATTCCCAATGCAAATAATTTGCAGCTGAATGCTATTAATGATGGATTGCTGGATGGCGAAACCGAGACTATGGCGAATATGTTAATAACATTTCGTTTGCCGAACACTTTGCCTGCCAAATGCAGGCAAATGAAATGGGCTTTCCGGCTTCGGATTAACCAAATCCACAGGACGCAGGACGCAGGATGCGCGCTCCTCGAATCGAATCCTAGTCGGAGGGGTTCTGGAGCACCATGATGAAGTACTCCTCCTGCGGACACAGCATCACCTCGTGCTTGAGCGTCCGCAGCCGCAGGAAGGTGAACTCGTTCGTGGCGTCCAGATCGAGGACCGCCTGGCGCGCCTTCTCCCTCAGCGATTGCATCAGGGCCGCGTAGTGGAGGGTCAGGTTGTACTCCAAGGTCGTCTTGATGGGGATCCCGTCGTTGTCTACCACCATGATCCCCACCACGTTCTTGAAGGACTGGAATCGCTTCAGCAGCTCCTCCACTTCAGCGGACATTTTTGGGTAACTATTTCTACTTCAGAGATTTTTCAGTGTAGCAGTGTTCTTGTGTAGGGGAATTGTTTTTGAGTGTTAACAACAAATGAAATTTATTTCAGAGATAACAGTTGGTAACTTGGAATATTTCTAGCAGCATCAGTTTGGTTTAATACGAGGCTACCGATTGCCTTTCATAATTGAAAAAAGAATTTCTCTGAATAGTATAAATTTATCCTTAATACTTATTCTTTATTATTATTACTATTTTATTATCGGTAAACCCTTCCCATATCATCCCTTTTTTCCTCAGTGTACTGTCGAGGGGACCTTGTTATATGACGGGCTCATTTCATCCGCCAGTTTAACGAGTCGATACAAGTTTTATGACGTTCGGCATAATCCGGGAGCTTCTGGCGCTGTTGTGTCCGTAAATAAGCATTCAAGTTGGCAACAATTCCGGATGTCGGACTGCAAAAGTTTCTCTTTTGTGGAAGGCAGAAGTACGGAAAATTAATTGAATGCTGTTGAAGCTGCTGCCAATGCCCCTTTCCTTCGTTTCGATCCTGGTTTTGGCCCTCGTCCTCGTTCTGGTTCTGGTCCTGGTCCTGGTCCACTCGAAATGCAGATGAAATGTTTGCATCAAGTTCGAGGCGGTGCGGAAATTATGCCACTCTTCCTGTTCGACCAGACTACAGACTACAGACTACAGCAGACAAAAGCCGGACTGCGGACTCCGACCGAAGTTGTTATGAAAAGAGTGTAAAATTGTTCACTTTTTAAATTAATTAAAAGTCTTAAAACTCATAATGAAATTACTCAAACGGGCAGATGGCCGAATGGACGGAGGGAGGGGCAGTGCATATGCAAATTCCTGGCCAGACTTGAGGGAAATGAAACTTCTTTCTCGACTTCTGGCTGGCAAGGAAATTCATTTGGTAATTAAATCAATGTCCATGTGAAAAACCTCAAATGCAATTTGTCATGCAATGCCGGAGAAGTCAAAATGTGGAAAGTACTCTCTAACTCTAACTTTGTTAAATGGGCGTGGAAATGGGCGGGAAAATCTGGAGGGCGGCTATGCATTTTATTGCATATTTGCTGAACAAATAGTTAGTTTTGCACGCTGGCCAAACGGCAACACGAAAAAATAAACAACGCAATCGAAACGCAACAGGAGTGCGAGTCCTTGATCCTGTTTTCCTGTTTTGATGTTGAAGCTCGCTCACGAAACTAAAATATTTACAAATGTTTTGGCAATTTATGCAACCTGCAAATATTCGCATTTTAGCTGTTACAAAGTCAGGAGGCTAAAAAGAAAACATGTTTTTATTCCAGAATGGAATTTTGCAGATATAAAAGCAAATCGAGTATTTTTTCAACGAGCAATTTGCAGCAATGTAATTTGATATTAATGAAAACAAGTTTGTCTTGCGCTTTTTATAATAATAAAAATCTGTTATTTATGGATAGAATTCGGTCTGGCAATGTGCGAAATCATATTTAATTGGCCTTTTCAGAATTTGAACTTTAAAATGCTATTATTGATGCATTCAATTCACTTTTAAGCTGACATTCCAGCGATTTCAGTGCGCGCGTACACATTTTATTGCAATGATATTTGACTCGTTTAATGAATCTGTAATTAATTGCGAATTAATTGATTTTTTTAATAAATATGCCCGGCTATATCTACCATTCATCTGTAGGATTTCCGCTGTTTTGTCACCTCTCGTTTCCTGCACTGAATTTGCATAGCGCTGTTTAATAAAGAATAATTTATTAATCAGCGAGCCATCGAGCATATTTGGCCTTTTCTGCAAGTATTTCAACAGTGCCACAAGGTGATAATGAGATCACCAGGACCGACTCCAGTTTAAAGAGGCAAATTCAGGTAAATGAATTATGAGACCGAACCAGTTAATGAGAATCGGATTTCGTTTGCAATTAGCAAGTGGCACACGCACAAAGTACATACATCCCCCTGGCCTCCGGATGGAAACTCCTATGTCGGTTAATTTCGTTCTGGCCAAAATTTAAATTATGATTGAGCCATGTACGTGACAGCCAGCCCGGTTCTTAATTGAATTTAAATTAATTGCCGGGTGTGACGGAGTGTTCTCGTGTGCTTGCAACCTTTGGAGGCACAATAGTCATGTCTTTTATTTATAATTTTCTTCCTTTGAACCTTTTCAAAATAAATCACGGGGTGTATTCCCCAAATACAGCGGCAATCGCACCTGAGGTGTCAGATGGGATAAAAACGGCACAAAGCCTCGAAAATCGCTTCCTGCCTTCCTGCCTCTCCGCCTGCAATGCAATCTGATTGGAGCGACTTAAGGTCCTTAAGCAGAATACTCCGATACTGGGGTCCTGGCAAGGAGTGACACTTTTCCATTTGACGCTCGCCTGCCCCTCGAAAGTCATGAGCAGAATGCCGGGGGCTACAATTTTAAATTAAATATTATAGCGTGGGCCTGCGAAAAGGAGCCTCTGGGCAGGATAAATGCGTAAACACGATCCCCGCTGTGCTCAAGGATTCCTTTTGGCCCGTCTGGGTGTGTTGGTGTGTGACTGAGTGGGTGTGAAAGTGTTTGTCTGCACCTGACGCCTTTTTGTTGTGCTTTTAGTATTTTATTACATTTCTCTGTTTGCATATCTTATGGTGTGGGTATGTATATACGAGTATAAATTTCTGGATGAGCTACCTTCGGTTCTTGAACCCATCTCACATCTTGATAAATTAAATGGGCATTCTTCCCGGGAAAAATCCCAGGGTAGGTATGGTAAATCATTCAAATCTAAAATCTTTAATGAACACTTCTAAATTATCTGGAGAATTTCATAGGAAACTGGGTTTTTATATTTATGATTTTCTGTCTTTCTTAAAAACTTTATTTGATCGTACCTTTTTGCTGGCACTCATAAATACCTCAGTTTATTCGAAACCTCTCTCCTTTTCAATTATGTAATACCCATTTCTGGCGATTACAGGCCACTTTCCGCTTAGTTCTTCCTACGCCACTTTAATGCCTAGCAAACCCACAGCGTTTGCTTATCAAAGTGAAAAACTTCTATCATATTTAACGGAAAAAGGTCAACAAAGAATGAAATGGGAGAAAAGGAAAAGCCTTGACATCACCTTTTTCAATCAACTAAAAAGTGTCTTGTTCGCCACCGACTTTCTCCCCTCTCCCCTCCTGCTTCTGCTTTCTGCTTTCTCCTCTCCCCTTTCTCTTTTCTCCGCGGCACCACTGACTCAATAAGCCGGCATTTTATTTGCATTTTTTTCGTCACTTGCCCGCCGTCTGTCCCAAAAGGCTGTCTGTCGTCATTTCTGCCGCTTCGTTGGCTGCCAGTCGAGTTTTTCACTTTTGGGCCAAGTTCCTTTCCCACTCTCATGAAGAATGGGGGGTGGGCGGATGCCGCAGTGGGTGGTGGTGGTGGTGGTGGTTTGTGGGTGGAGGAAGAAGGATGAAGGAAGGAGAAAGGAGGAGGGAGGCTGGAGCCATCGGCGGCAGCAAATTCATCATCGTCTCAGCACGCGTCTGTCAGCCGCGCTAAGGATACAATAAATGTCTTTCGCGGTCGCCCATCTCGCCGACAGCCTGTCCCTTTCCAAAGGCTCCTGATGGCCTTGGTTACACAGAAAGAAACACACAGATCTCCAGAAGAAATTTTTACATATAAATTTGTTAAGAGATTTTAAGCTATTAAGCTTGCTTTATTAAAGATTCGTTAAACAGACATAGCAATGAATACAAATGAACAAATTATATAGTTTTGTAACGCAAATTATTTTATTCGATTTTTCTCCATGCATATTCATTCGTTTGTGGCCAGGACACCCTGTACGGGTGAGTGTGTTTGAAGCTGAGTGAAATACTCTGTCGGATTAATATGCAGTAGCGCTTTGCATTTTTTTTAGCCTTCCCTTTGGTTTGTATCGTCATTTTCCGTTGCTGTTGGTTTATTCATTTGCCTTTGCCTGTTTTTCCTTATTTATATATTTTTTTTTCTTTCTGTTTTCGTTTTTTTGTTTTGTTTTTGGTTTTACCTCTTAGCCCTGAGGCTCAGGTGCACTTTGGGGATAACAAATTAAACAACTTTATGCAAGTGGAGCTGAATAAATTGCGGCGGGTCCCGGAATATGGTTTCACTTGACATAAGTAGCTTTTTCCAGCTGTTTTATTTTCATCAGAATGCGTTTGTATCAAGGCAGGGAAATAGGGTTATTATTGGGATTACAGCAGCTGATTCGATTCGATTCAATAAAATCAAAGGATAGAATAAATCACTTAAGCAGCTCTTATTAGGATGTTAGGATATAATAAATATTTTATTCAATATTTTTATTATTAACGAGGTAAGTAGACAATATCCTACTCCTTGGAGCCCTTGCTGTTCCTGCCGTAGACCTCGCTGTACTGGGGATACTCGGACCTGCTGATGGTGCGCAGCTCGAGGAAGGCCTGCTTGGCCAGCCAGTGGACGACAGGGCTGCGCCACTCCTTGAGGATGAACTGGTGCTTCCGGTCGCCGGTGTCCTCAGACTTCATCACCTGGCTGAACTTGTACCAGATGAAGACCATGCAGCGCAACTTGTAGATCCACAGGTGGTTCGGCACCGACCGTATGATATCCTGCAGCTGGGCCACCGAGTCCATGTTGAGGTTGGCCAGAAGGGAGTGGTCCATCAGGCCGTACACCACCCGCATGTTGCCCAGGTAGCTGTTGCGGTTTTTGGTGAGAGCGATGTTGGCCCTCTGGATCAGATCGGCAGGATCACAGGCGCCACCTGGCGCCTGGAAGTTGTACTTCACGTTGAAGCAGTCGAACTTGGCCAGCTGCTCGTTGATGTCCACGTCGATGTTGCGGAAGTCCTTCCACCAGCCCTCCCACTTCCCGTAGTTCCTGCCCCGATAGATCTTGGTGAACTCAGCGGCGAAACTCTCGCGGGAGCGACCCGAAAACTGGGACAAAGGATTGTCCTTTCCACCGAAAACCTCTTCCAACTCTTCGGCGTCCTTGTTCTCGATGTAAATGTGCTGAACAGTCGGAACCTTCTTGGATTTGCCGACGGAGATTATATAGTCGGGCTGCTTCTTGAAGAACCTCACGGCATGCGACCTCGACGCAGCAAAGGGAGGTTGGCCCACAATGTTGGTGACGTAGGGCAACTTGAAGCCACCGATCGAGAAGGTCTTTTCGAACATCTCACGACCTCCGGAAAGCGACTCCGATCGGCGTTTATTTACCTGATTTCCATTGCGAACCATGTTCTCCTCGCGAAAGTCACGATTATTGAAACCAGATTGTGGTCCCGAGAAGCCCGAGTCAAAGGAGCAGTCCTCAACCATGGAAGTTTGACAATCCATCAAGGATTCATTGCGAAACTCCGGTTCCTGAATGTTTCGCGAAGTCATCACTGGGCGATATCCCTGTTGAAAGTTGTCATTGGGGATAAAGCGCTCTGGCTCACGACCTCCGATCATCACATCGTTCTGAATATACTCATTGCATCCGCGATTCTGCGGTTGATCATCAAAGTTCCTAAAGCCCATCATATTGGACGACCCATTGGGTTGAAAACCGCGATCGTTCCAATTGAGATTCTGCGGCGGCGGCGGAGTGGAATTCATAAGCAATTGCCTGCTCAAGTTGTTGCCAGAATTGTTGTCATTCCAAAGCCGCGAATCGATCCTCTCGCGAAGAATTTGATCCATGGAACGTCTTATTATAATATCGCTATTATTATTGAGACTTTCGAGGAAGTTTGGCTGCCGTAGATTCTCTTTGGCACGAACAGGTAACGGAGAAGGCAAAGGTCTGGGACCAGATATAGTCATCCTCTAAGGATACAAATGTAAAAGATATCACTATATATACACCTTGTAACTCACGCGCTTCATAATCGGGCGTTCTTTGTTCAAAACTTGACGAGCCGGCATTTTTGCAAACTTATTTGAGAAATTCAAAAAGGGAGAATATTTCTTATTTTTAACGCAACTGAATGTTAAGAAAGTAAATTCGAGAATGATGAAATGCTGCAGTTGCTGTCGCACTATTAAATCACTGCCTACTGTTTTTTAATATTCCAATAATTTACATTACATTTTGCTTACTCATGGGTGACTTGTAAATGGTTTCTGAATATTCAAATAAATTTGAAAAGCAAGCCATGAAACAGTATTCATATTTATTTTGAGAGACGTGTATTCCTTTAGCAGCAGTAACAAAAATTTCCGAAAAATTCTCAGTTTTTTTGTAAATTGTATATTTTCAGTAATAAAAAAAAAAGAAATGGAAGCCGCGTACATGATTGCCATGCTGATTTCGATCTTTTGCCATGCCATAGGGCTCTTCTACAATCCCGTGGAATCGAGTGCGGAATCGACCGTGTTCTTAATCGTCGCCATCATGTTCCTGCATAAATTAAAGTTGAAGCACGGCGCAAGTTGTCCGAACGTAAGCCAGATGGGTCAGGCGGGGTTAATCCTCGAGGTGGCGGCTCTTTGCCTGGCGCTCCAGGTGCTTCTGGTGGCCATGTGGTTCCCCGCCTTCCGCATCCTGAAACTCTTCGTGGATGCAATCTGCAATACCCTGCAAGACTTTCTCAGCGACGAACGAGCCTGGCTGGTGGAGAAAATCAACAATTCTGCGGTGACTGTGGCCCTGCTCTCCGCGGAATCGGTTGTGTTGCTCAGGGGCTTGGAGATCGACGACGTGCAGAAGGTTTTCGGCAGCAAGGAGGACTGCCTGTCACCCAGTGAGCTGTCCCTCGTAAACAAGGAGGAGCTGAAGGTCCTGCGCCGGGAGGCCAAGTTAATAAGGTAGAGCTTCCTGGAATCTGGATGGGATTTACATACCAAATGGCATTTGAATTCCATGAGCCAATGGTAGCCGGCTAAAAAAACTAGTTAAATAAATGTCTTAATAATTTGTAAATTGTCTTTGAGCTTATAGAAACGAATATTCTTCGAACAATTTATCTTCCGTTCTCCGTCAAGAAACACTAACGACAATATGCGGCGAGCTCCGCTCCATTGGACGTGATAAACTTTCGGTAATAATTTATTGCAATCACTCAACTCAACGGCCACGTCAATGGCCACAACCAAAAAAAAAAACAGGGAAAATGTACAAATGGAGAGCCAACAAAAAAAAAAGATGGAGCTGTGCGGGGATTGTGCAATATTTTAAATTGCATCCCGAAGGATGATAAAAAAGGAGCACAACCGAATGAAAACATTCGAATAAAATGTGCCGCACATTCGACACACGTCGCGGCAACGAATGTGCAAAAAATTGAAATAAATAAGATATAAAACGGTGGCACAGGAACACAGCCACACAAATACACACACTCATACATACACACACTCGAACACACACACACAATGGCAGAGGCAACAATTTATGCATCGCAGATACATATGGGCAAACATATATATTTACGACTCCCCGTTCGATGCGATAAGTGTGTTTATTTGAGCTTGCCCAATGCAATATTTACAATGCAGCGACACCAATCTTGGGGCATCTCCTCTGGCGCACACGGCGTATGTGGAATGTCGAAAAGTGGAGGAATATAACGGGGCATATGGCGGAGGATATTCCCGTATTTGCTGACTCGGCGACACTCGGCCACGCCCCCTATTCTTCGTTCTTCGTTCTTCGCTCTCAGTTCGGTGGTCTATGGGCGCAATTAAAGCAAACAGCCAGGGGAAACTAATCTCGAGCGGCTCGTAAATTCCGAGCGGGCATTCCTGTGGGACACCGAAGGATGTCATGGAAACGGGACACAGGATACGGGCTACAGAATACGGGATACGGGATACAGGGCACGGGGTTGTCCCCTCCGCATCCGACAATTCAAGCGCGGCACGGAATCAGCGACGCCGGCGGAATGACTAAGCTGCCTTTCTAATTCCTCCTCGGTTTGTTTACGCTGCCAGCGAATCTGGCAGGATATTCGCAGTCAAGGAAGTGGCCATCGCATGTGGATCCCGTAGCTCAGAGCTTCGAGCTGCCGAAAGTGCCAGATGCTGCGGAATCGCAATTGGAATGCCGAGCCGAATGGAGTGGAGTCGAGTGAAGAGGAGAGGAGTGGAAAGGCGGCATCATTTGCATATTAATTAAACGTCAAAAGGGTAACAACAGCAAACGGCAAACAGTTTGTCCTGGCTTCCAATTAACTTGACTTGCGAGGAGGACGAGCATATGGGGCTGGCTCAAGGTCATCCGGATGACTAAAACTGGATACTCTACCATAGAAGCACTTCCAAGTTGGTTGGAGAAAATTGAATAAGCTGAGAACCCTTAAACAAAACCAATTCGATTGGCTATCAAGCAACCAAGTCTCAAATCTCAGAGACTGACTTTCCAGAATTGCAGTGTTCTTATCCAGAAATTGTCATCTGCTAACAGCCCACACCGCATATCTTTTTGGCCATTTTCAGGTGGTCTTCTCGACTGGAAATGAAAATTCCATAACCCGCTTATGACGCACTGCTGATGAAGGGAGGAAGGAGCCGAAAAGGGACGCAGGATAAGATGGGATTCGTCCTGACAACGACAAGTGACATTTTGCCTCAATGGCCAAATGGGTTTCACTTTTCCTCTGCTGGTGGCTAGTGGCTGGTGGCCAGAAGCCCGTCTGGCTGAGTCTAATTGGCAGCTGCACACGAAACAATCGAGAGTCCGGCAAGGAGGAAAATTGGCTACACATGAACCTCTAAACTTTTGCAGGTTAAAGTGTTCAGTTGCTTTTGGCTTAAGATTACTTGTCTGGTAAAGTATTACGGCAAGATATTACAGTATTGAATAATTAAGAGCCCTCTGAATATGACAATTGCCCCGGGATGCCTCCGGTTTAACATTTAACTGAAGCCAATGTTAATGGATATTCTTCGGTTGAACTCCAACTAATCACCATCCGAGCAGGGCGCTCCGCAATTCTCCGACATGTCAATTAAGTGATGAAAATTCCTTATCTTCCCACAAGTCAGCGGGGAGGAGACGGCGTTGGCTTTCCCCGTTTTCCCCCTCCGCTGGGAAGTGTCTCCGTTTCTGGTAATTTGCCGGGCCAAATGTCTGCTCGAGCCAAAAGCCAAACTTGGCAACCGCAGGAGGAGCAACTCCGAGAGCAGCTGTCAAAACGTATAGACGATGTGAAGTGGATACATCACGCAGCTCCGGCAACAGATGAAGGGGATTGGGAAGGGTTTTAGGGATGGAGGGATAGATGACTTGCCGGATCCCAACTTGCATTCCACACGCTGCGGTTGAAAAGATATGCAAATCTTCAGCTCTCTCTAGGAAATGTCAAGCGAATTCGGTAGCAGAAAATTAGCACGCAAATTACAACTGAACCGAAATCAAGTGCGGTGCAGATATATGAGTGCTTGGCTGGGAATATCGGGACTACTGTTTATAAACGCCTGAACCACTTCAGATTGGGCTATAAATATTTCAAATGCTATATCGCAACTTAAGCTAGCATTTAAATAAGTCGCATGGAATCGTTCCAAGTGCAAGTATTTCACATTGATTTTCCCACTTTCCGGCTGTAATTTAGCATTTTCCCGGCAGTCAGCAAATCCAGTTACTCAGCCTGAGCGGCATTTCACACTTCGTCGCCTTTTCGCAGAAATTTCTTGGTATTTTAGTGTTCACTTAAAACGATTTTCGGTCGCCAGTCGAGCGCGAGTAAGTCAAACGGAGTGACCTTTAGACCCAAGCTGAATAAATTCAAAAGCCGTTTCCCATTGTGCACTCTCAGCAGCTGCAAATTTTCCACTTAGCCACTCGAGCCACAAAAGTATGCTAAACACGTGGCAAACCGTTTTTGTGGAAAATCAAATTATCAGCAAATTTATTTAATGCATAACATCGGGGATGACCGCACCGCAAGAAAAAAAAAACAGGGAAAGATAAACACGCTTTACACACGCAATTAGCAATATTTCCGCGGCCGGCAAAGCCATTGAAAATTAATCGAAATCAATGGCATTTTCCCGTGGTATTTCGGTTGATTTTTCCGTGTCACCCCGATAACCGAAATTTGGCACCGAAAATGCTAAACCGCAGAAGCTTTCAGATTCGGTGGTGTGTGTGTGTGTACTATATAGTGCGGGTTAACCCACAATAAATGTGTATCAATGCGCCATTACCAGCTAATGGAAAATACCTCGCCCAAACCAAAATAAACAATTTTGACTTGTGTGACCGAGAGACCACCTATGAACTTTAACTGACGAATCAATTTAGCCTATCAGCCAACGACTTTCGGGCTTCGGTCTTCGGTCTTTCGGCTGCCAAATATATCCAAGTACTCAGGGCGCAAGCACACTTAATTTAGCATAAAAGCCAAGTTTAGAACTTTCCGGGAGCCACATTTTGTTTGCCTTTTCCCCCGTCGCAAAAGGAGCCAGCCCGACTTGATGAACTGTAAATGAACTTTGTGTTTGAATTCGATTTAGTTTTATTGCAACATGCTCGAACAGCACTCCATCTAGACATTCTGCCAAGGACTTGGACATGCAAGGATGCTCTGATGTTAGGATGCCAGGCTGCCAGGATGCCATGATGGCAGGATGGCAGCATGTCTGCTGCGGAATCGAAAGTTGTGGCATTAAGCAGCAGCAGCTGCAATTTGTGGTCCGTGATACGGCCAAAGTACACATAATATCGGTGAAAGTAGTGGAGTGGGAATGCAATATCGGTTTGTCCGAGCATATGGGCCGCATTTTCTTCAAGGAAACTAAATTGCGGAGAGGAGAGCTTGAGTTTAATGACGATATTCTTGTGGTTACAATATAAAATCCACTACCAAAATGAACGGCAACGCTGCGTATGCGTGATATTAGTCCATACAGCTATGCAAACGAATGTTATTTGACAATTAAACACCTCACACCATTTTCCGTTTGGTGTTTTTATAAGTTTCCACTTAATATGCCCGACAATCACAAAGATTTTCACACAACCGACAAATGAAGACAGATGAGCAGACAGTTGAGCCAGCAATCTGCCAAAAACTTTATACAAATTTAAAACGTATAAAACTTATCAGTCAAATGCAGAGCGAGCTTCAGCCGCATCAACTTCACTTTTTATTTACATTTCCATTAAGTCAACACGAAGGAAAAAGAATCGGGGGAAAAAAGGGGGGACGAGGAATGAAACGAAAAGCCCTACTTCAGCAGAAAGGAAAACGAGGTGGAAAATTTACTGAAACAAAGTCAACACGAATTTGCAATTTGGTATAAAATTTCCACTGCGACCGCTGCACAAATTGCTAATTCGCTAAAAACTTCAAGTTGACACAAGAAATTTGTGTGAGTACATTTTTTATGCGCCTCTTTTTTTTTTTTTTTGGACACGGCGATGAAAGTCGAGCGGAAGAAGTGAAAGAGAGGGCGGGACTCAGATAAAAAGAGATAGCAAGTGCAAAGCAAACGGCTTGGGAAACTCAAGTGTAGATGGGTTTTTCTTACCAATTTCCGGTTTTTGGGGAGCATATTGATTGCGCAGTGGTATTTTTTATACAAAATTACTCACGAAACTAACAAAAATTCCCGAAATGTCTACGTAGTATTAGCATATCAAAAGTTCCTGACTATTGTCATCAAAATGACAACCAAAAGTGATGGGCTTATGCCAAACATAACCATCTTGTTTATAAAGCTGATAAAAAGTTTAGAGGCTTGGCAAGGTTGCAATCAGATTTTATAAGCGCTTAATCGAGAAATTAAACAAGGCTATTACCTTTCCCGATAGCGTGCCTCGAAAAGTGTGACTAACTATTTGATTTGTTTGATTGCCGCCAAAGTGGTGAATGAACCAGTTGTTATCTGCGCTCGTTTACGCTACGCTTTGTGGCCCTTATCAAAATCAAAGCAAATCGTCGACAGTTTGTAAATATTTGCACGGCACTCTCGACATTGAGTGGGAACTTGACGACAGGGCTTTGTATTGAGCTTATCGCAAAGAGTGTTTGCATACTTTGCAATCCCCGCGAAGCTGTCGAGGGGTTTCCCCGAAATTCGGGGCATCTGCAGCATAAATCACTGGGGAAATGCATTTATCTCGGGCCACTGATGCATTGCTTGTTATTAATACATCCGATTGATAAATACCCCACTACTAAATTAAATGTGTCAGCGGAGGAGCCTTCGATTCCCCGATTCCCCTGCGCTCCCTGCTGGATTTTCGACAACAAAGCATTTGACATTAGTCGAGATTTTCAATGCTTTTAACCCATTTTCCCCCATTTCCCATTTCCACGGCGCTGAGAACGTGTCAAATGGAGCAAGAAAAGCGCCAGCGGGGAAGGGAAGGGAGGGCTCGGAAAATAAGAAGTAGATTGGTTTGGGGCAGCCATAGAAAGGCATCTACATCATCGCCATGACGCCGGGTCCAAACTGTTTGCAGCTGCAGCTCGGCACTTGGTCAAATGCTCGGGTACAAAGTTCGCCAAATTGAAAAATGCCAAACGGAATGCCAGGCGAAATGCAGAGAGCATAGAAAGTGCGGCAGAAGCGGCAGAAGAATGGTTTTAAACGCCCCTCAAGGTCTTTCGCTTCCGATTTGCCGACTTGATTTTCCCGGCCCGCTTTTCACATTTCAACGTTTCCACGTTTTGTGTAACGCACTTATGCTGACCGTCTATTTATACATTTTAATTAGATAACAACCATAACCCAGACAAACTGAGCCCGACATGGCGCCAGTCTGCAAAATCGATTCTGCAGGCGATTTCACCGATCTCGAAATTCAATTATTCCTTACTCATTTCCATGAATGGAAAAATACAGCAAAGACACACCCTCTGCGACCTTAGCCGTATTATTGGCCAAGATAAGAAAGAGTAGTGATTCAAAGCAGATGGATGTCCATAGCTTTGGCTTTCAATCGCCGTCGTTATCTTGCGGTTCTGCCAGCAAAACAGATCCAAAACGTGTCGAAATGTACTTTATATACATAACTCGAACAAATGAAGGTTAAAATACAGTAACGTGAATGTAGACAAAAAATAAATCTAACCCATTCATTTAATTGTGTTTTTGATGTCCAATAAAATTAAACGGAAGTCTTGTGGCTTTCCCATGACTTTTATATAGATACCCCTAAACAGATGAGTAAGCTATATAACTTTTTTTAGTGTACACCAAGTTCACAGTTTCAACCCGTTCATTATCATTTGGGTAAGTTTGCCCAACGACGGTGTCATTTCCACCAGGAGCCGTCTCAACTGTTGAATTCAATAATGACACCCGATTCAGGTCCCCGCTGGGTAAACAGGGGCATTAGGCAGAGAGTGGGCAGGTTGGGGGGGCAGGTGGGAAAACTTTGGCCCTGCGTCGGGGAAAACTTATTTGCCTCGAAATTACGTGTCGGCAAAGTTGGCCGAGGCGACATTATACAATTTATATGCACGTATTGCGCTCTATCCAAGATGAAATGTCGGTTCTGAGGCTCCGGCTGAGGTTGAGGCCGTGGCTGCTCATCAACGTCATCAACGAGAATGTAATTACATTTTCCCGATTCATGACAGTTTTGCATAACCAAGAGTCCCCCGTTCGGGCCCTCGTCCTTGCCCCTCCTTGCCCCTCCAGCTTCTGCCACCGCCTCCTGTCCGGGATTTTGCGTTCATTAATGAGGCAGGCGCGAGTGGCAGCCACAAAAGCCGAGCCACGAATACGGAATCTGGACGAGGCAGCCGTCTCCAGAATGAGTTTGCAATGAGCCGTCAAGAAAACTCCATTTAAAACCTATTAAATAAATCGGATTATAAGGGGTAACCGCAATGCCCTCATAAAATTGTGAAATAAAGTGCTTTGGTATTGGCATATATAACTGATATTACGTAGTAATCCAAATTGTACGATAGTTTCTTTTTAATATTTAATAATAATTTGTTGGAATATTTTAAGGTTTTTTTATTATATCATTTAAATGTTTATTAAATTATTTACAATAATTCGTGTCATATTAGAGCTCATTGAAACTGTTTCGATTCGCTTCTGCTAGCAACTCATTCCCCGGAATTAGTCAGCCTTTGTCGGAAGCCACAATTGCGGACCACAAATCGACAAACTCCGTCCAGTTGTTGCGGCGGAAAGTAACTGATAAGAAAAATCGCATAAAAGCCCCCACCTGAGCCCGAAACGACATCAGTGTCTTCCGACAGGGGCCAGCACCAGTGCTTAGCTATTTAAATTGAAATAATTAAAAACATAAGTACTTCAGCTCGCAAAGTTCAAAAGAACTAATTAAATTCGAAGTGCTTTGAAAACTGAAAAATGAGCGTTCAGCAAGTGAGAAGGAAAAAGAATATAGCTAGGATGCATAAGTTTAAAAATGCTTTTCTGCTTCAAAAAATTACGAGATTGTTGAGCAAAATCTCAAATAATAATATTTTTTCAGTTTGAGAAGGAAGTTCTTGAAGCTCATAACAAATATAGGGCCCAGCATGGTGTTCCACCTTTAAGTTTAAACCCCAAGCTAAGTCAGTTGGCCACCGAATGGGCGCAGGTAACAGCCTTTAGGATCGCAAAAAATTAAAAACAACTAATCAGTGTCTTATTTATCAAGTATTTGCTGGCCAGAAACCGAATGGAGCATCGCCAAAACAGTGGATATGGCGAAAACATCTACATGGCATCCGGGGCAAACTTGGAGGGAGCGGATGCCGTGAGATCGTGGTACGAGGAGATTCGGCACTACAACTGGAACTATCCGTCTTTTCAAGGCAGCACGGGCCACTTCACCCAGGTGGTTTGGAAGAGTTCCACGGAGCTGGGCGTTGGTTTCGCCAAAAGGTACGTTTTTATCCGGCCCAGCAGTTATATTTAAATACTTATCTGTCTTATCTCCCTTTTATAATCTCACAGGGGCAACACCATCTACGTGGTGTGCAACTATAATCCCCCGGGAAACTACAACAACATGTACAGGGAAAACGTGTTTCCTCCTCGGCGGTAAAGAAGACTTATCCACAAACCAAAGACATTCCAAAGACAAAAACGATTCCAAAACAAAAAAGAAAGCTAGCTTCGGCGCCTCGAAGCTTATATACCCTTGCAGTCATCACAAAAGCGAAAAAAAGCGGACACAACGTTGGATTCCTTATTTAATATTAGTTAATTGACTAGACTTGCATCTTAGACTAACACAATATGGATTGTCCCAAAATGTATAGTACAAGCCTAGGGTATTATATGTATTATATATGTAAAATAAACTAGAACTACTGAATTTGGCAAGCCACCTTCTTTTTCGGCTGTGTAAATTTTCCATAATACTTTTGGGATCAATGGGAAAATCTTAAAAATAATAATATCCACCAACTCTTGCATTCTGTTCGCCTGGTACTTCAAAATGCGTTTGGCACAAAAAAAATGGAGTTAAAATTGTGGGAATTTTTCATGAAAAAGTATAGCATACTTTTGGGAGCAAGTAAAAACAGAAGAATAGCCACCTCCTATAGCTTTCTCTTCGCCTGGTACTTGCGGGCCAAATCGACCAAAAAATAACCAATAAATGCTGTTTATTGGTGAATTAGAAAAACTAAAAGAAATGTACATGTACATGACATGTTTTTACTATTTATTTAAGATCAACTACATTTATTCACTTCAAAGAACTGAAATTAGCAAGGTTCTATCCTTAAGTGTCCTTGGGGATCCAATCACTCCTCGATGGTGCAAAGAGTGGGCCGTGGACGCGATGCGATTCCGGCAATACTGCTCCCTGAGTATCCTTTTTTTGAGACCTTTTTCTGGCTGCCCATCGCCGCATCGCAGACATCCGAGGAGCAGGAACTCGAGTTAGTGGAGGATGTCGGCTTGCTACGATTCTTCGGCTGCTGCCGATGGACGTAGACGCCGCTCCTGCGGATTTTGCGATACAGCGAGATGTACTTGCCCGCCGTCGTCGTCCGGGGAACAATGCACTGCTCGCAGAAGGCGGTCTTGCTGCGGGCCGCCTCGCTCAAGTGGGCGTGACCGAGGGCCTGCAGGAAGGCCAGGACGAAGGCGTAGCAGTTGTGGCTCTCCTCCGTGTAGCTGGCTATGGACCACCGCACGGATTGGGCGCAGATCTATTAATGCAAACGGAGCTTAGGGATTTGCATTGATTTCGAACAGGGTGATTCGATTTGGGCAGCACTTGCAATATATTTTAAATGATTCGAATTTTTATGGAGGAATAGAACTACTTCTCTATGCAAAAATGATATTGTACTCAAGGGTATATATTCAATTTGATTTTTATCGCTGCAAATCGTGCCACCCTGCGTTTCGTGGACCGGATTCTGGACTCACCTGCTGCAGGACCTCGTCCCAAAAGTCGTGCCACGGCTCCGGCACATCGCCCACCAGCAGCGACTGCCGCCACTCCGCCGGATTATCTTCCCGCCGATGGCGGCGCAGGCCAAAGCGATCGAACTCCACGATGTCGCCGCCGGATGTGGTCACTGCGATATGCAAATCGGTGGCGTTGCTGTAATCGCTGCGGAAACACGACGCATCAAAAATGAATTCATGCCATAAAAGATACTTCTAGCCAAAAAAGAGTAATATATTCGTGCGGGGAATTTGGCACACAATTTGGATTTGGTCTGAAATCAGACAGCTGCAGCCAAGTTCCGGAATAACTGAGGGGAAGCCGCTCGGAGTAGTCAGCTTTAATTGCTTGGCTTCGCTCTATGAAATGTATACTTTTTAGATTTAACGAACTGCATTATATAGTTTTCGTTTGGAATTGGAAAATTAAAACGTAAAGTAACTCATTAAGTTCATTTTGTTGATATGCTCATTACAATTTGAACTCGTAAAAGGTTTAAAAGTTGATATGCTCTACACCTTCTTATTACTCATATATAGTAAAGTTTAATAAAAAAGTAAAGGCCAGCCCGAAACTAATGAAACCATTTGTCCGATTTGTTCAAGGATTCGAATGTCAGCAGCTGTAGCAAATATGCTCCCCGAATGTCCAGGCATTCGAAACTCACTTGAGGAAGTCGCCGGTGGAAGGACGCAGGACAATGGCGCAGGGATGCTGTGTGGCCCGCACAAAGGGATATGGCAGGCGGAAGGGTAGGAGGCGTGGTCCGCCCCTCTCTGGTTCCCCACTTGGATCCACACTCGCATTCGCATTCGCAGTGGCATCCTCATCCGCATCCGCGTCCAGTGGGGCACTGCAATGGGGACAAGTGTGCGGCAAAGTGAAGCAGAAAACTTTCACGTTGCAGTGATGGAAACAGAGTATGCCCGGATCCGAGGTAATTGTGGTTGTACTTGTCGTGGCCAACATGGCTCTGTGTGTGAATGTGGTTGCCCCTGCAGTTAGAAAAAAGAAACAGAATTAAATAGAAAGTATTACTTGCACTTTAAATTATTTTGATAGTACCATCACATTTCAATGTGAAGCAAAACATAATTTCATAAATTATTTCTCACTTATTTCTTAAGTCACAATAAGAAATAACTCACCACTTTTTCTCTCCGTTATAGCTTTTTCTCCTGGAACCCTTTTTCTGGCTCCTGGAACCTGGCTCCACCGCTTCCCCTCCCCTTTTCGCCTCTCGCTGCGGATCCTTCGCTTTGGGCCCGTATTATAATTGATACACTTTGTCTATTGTGCCAGCCACCCTTCCCCGTCCTCCGGTCCTCCTCCTGTCTTTGGTGCTTGTGGTTTTCGGCCAGGCCTGAAACGAACGTAACGAAAAATGCTTGTAAATAAGCCGAAACCGGACGAAGTTGCGACCAAAAGCGGTTTGCCCCGGCACACTGAATTGAGCCGGCGAACAGTTTCTGTGGTCAGAAGAAGGTAAGGTAAGGTGAGGGGTCGGGAAAGTGGCTAACAGGGGGTTGGAGCCACAAGCGTGTAGCCTTGGCGACATTTGTCATCATTATTGGCTGGTTTAGGGGTACATTAAATACACCTAAAAGCTTTCCGATGTTATACTTTCAGAATAAACTTAGGGTATAAGAAGTTAAAGAGTTAAAGAATAACTTAAATATAAGATTTAACTTATTATTTATCAATTTATATTCTAACCATCACAAACGATAACTTGCTAACGAAGGACCTCCCTCGAGGAACAAGTTTACTACCAACCCTTGTTAGCGTGGCTAGAAAATCTTTACTTACCGAACCGTAATTGCCGCACCCTCTCACCAAATTAGAGCCCCCAATCAATTAAACCGCTTCGCCGAGAAGCCACCCTAAAAAAGCACTCATATGTTGGCCAGCGAAGAAGAAAGCCGGCTTAAAGGAAAGCGGGCCAACACACAAAAACGTAAACAAACCGGCAAAACGGGAATCCACCACCTGACCAAGGGAAAAATCGGAAAACCAAAGCCACCAAATTGCCCAAAACAACAAAGAGAGAGAGAGAGAGTGAAAGCTGGCGAAAGAGAGCCGGGGAAATTCTGTCACCTGAGGTGGAAAATGCATAATTCACGACGGAATTTCCCGGCTCGGCTGGCGGACTCGGCTTTTCGATGGACGATGGCTCTAAGGAAGCTCGAGGCGAACCAGTTGACGGCGAGCCGTGCGAGCAGACGGTCGTGTTTCAGTCGCAGTTTCCCGAGGAAAAGTCCCCGAAAGTCCACACAGAGATCATCACAGCCATTATTGCCATCATTGCCATCGGCCCAAGTGCAACGGTGTGAAAAACAGAGAAAAACAGTGTGCGAGTTCGACCAAAAACGCAGGATATATCGCCGCATTATCCTTGGCAGCGGACCAAAAACAAAAACAAAACAAAAACGAAGTGAAAAACCAAATAACGAACGGATTTTGCTTGTTTACAACTTGCGGTCAGGACTTTTACGGATTTCCAGGGGGTTTGTCGTGTTAGTTTGTGTGGTTTTCCGCCCCCGTTCCCTGTGTGTTTGTGTGTTGTGCTGCTGCAAAGTGGAGACGCCATGGCAACACATTGCTAATCGATGACGTGACCAAAAACAACAAAACATAACCAAAGGAGCAAAGCAGCAAACAAAGCAAAAAAATAGAAAACTAACCAAACCGAAAAGGAGCGCAGCCCTCTTCACACTTGGGATAACACAGGGATAATGACCATAAACTGACTTGGTATGTGGCAATCAACGTTTTGACACCGAACCCCCAGAATTTGGCTAGCTGATAAGTGTTGCGGCTAACGAAACTCATTTTTGATGGCCCCCGAAAGGCTGGAATTAAGCCGCTTAACCGTTTTGGCAACCTCTTTTCTTTTTGCCGCATTTCAAGATCGAAAAGATATGCCAGCACGAAAAGTTGATGTCCCGCAAACAAGAAGGAATCGCCGAAAGGATATTATTTACTTCAAGCCTTCCTTTCTGGCCACTCTCACCGCTCTTAACCCAATTAGTGGGCGTGGCACTTTTGTGAAATTAAAATGTTTACTTGGCAAACTTGCCAAAAAAAATGACAGAGAAACTATTCATGGAAAGTTTCTGTGACAGATTTAGGGGATAATTTTTGAAATGGGTCGCCAAGGGTTAAAAATGTCTATATTTTTTCTCAAACTAAAACATAAAGGATGGAGAGGAGGTCTTTAAACTATTTTTAAAAAACTAGAAACTTGTTATACTCAGCCCCACATTATTCTCTTTAAATATTCAAGACTCTTTAACCATGAAAACTTCTGGCATAACCTCTTTGAAACTTTACATTCATGGCAAGTTTTAATTTCTTCAACATCGAAAGTTTTTTTAAAGTTCTGCTAAGAAAATATTTAATTAAGATAAAGCTAGCGGAAGGTATTAAATTTCAACTGATTATTTAACAAAATTTGCTGAATGATTGTTCGCAATAAACAATATTTAATATTTCCTGGGGGAAAAGTTAAATTGGATTTTCTTTGGGTCATGAATAAGCAAAGTAAGCAAGCCAAAGCGAGTAAAATGGCTAAAAAAAATTGTGGAATTCGGCTTGGAGTCTCGAAAGAAAACGTGGCTAACAAGCAGGATAACAAATGCAATAAAGGATACGACAACAGGCCTTGGGAGACTTAAAAAGAAAGTAACCAGAGGTAGATGGAAAAAATGGGCCATAACAGCAACAATTTCGTTGAAATCCAAACAAACTTTATCTCTATGTTGTTTGCCAACTTGAATTAAACACGCCCCAAACACACATGAAAAAAAGCAGTCCAGGAAAATCTCAAAGAGTTGCGAGAAATGAAATTACGACTTGCATCCTCTCCGTGACTTTTTTTGGCAAGGCACTTGGCCAGGACCTTCAAAAGGAATTGTTTGGCCAACGCAAACATAGAAGGCAACAACAAAAAAAAACAGGAACAATTTCCTGAAATCTAGTTAAGTGTACGTATTTTGACTGCATTTACAAAAGCAAAAGGAGTGCAAAAAAAGTTTGGTATTTACATGGCTTAAAATATTTTAAAAATGCACAAGCTGGAAACAAGTTCTTGAAAAGAATATTTTTTTTTCCTTTTGGTTCAAAAAAAGGTGGCGAGAAAAGGTGGGAATTATTAATATTGTCTTGGCTCCAAAATTTGTACATTATCAAGTTAATATTAATTTTACGAATAATGTGGACATTATTTTCTAAAAATATTTTATTTATAATATATCGAAATTACCTTTGTTGGTTGCTCAAACCAAACTGCAGAAGTTTCCCCGCAAGAGTATTAAAAATGCGAGTAAATATTAAGTGTGAGAGGAATGGGTCCTACCAGTAAGTAAATTTAACGGCAGCAACTGACAGGAAAAATTGCTCAAAATTTTATTGTCCTGTGCTTTCCCCTTTTCTTGGACCCTTACGTCTTTTTTTCCGGGATCCTTTGTTTTGTTTGGTGCGCAGCTGGTGACGCAGGATATAAATTACATTGGAACAATAAGACCGAAGGCAGCAGCAGCAGCTACAACAAGTGTTCAGTGAATTAATAACAAAACGGCGACAATAAAGACAAAGTTGAAAATCCTGAAGGGCCGTCCAAATGAAATAAGCTGAGTTGACAACTTGGAAAGCGGCTCCGTTGCCCCGCAAGAGAAACTCAAGCTCAAACTCAAAATTCCCTGCAATGCGTGAATTAATTCTGAAGACACACACGCGATGTGGGTTTTGTGGGGCGAAAAGCAGGTGCGTGCGGGAAAATCATTTGCTGGGGGGTCGGGAAAGTTGAAACTTTTTCCGTTCGAACTAATTATGACAGCTCAGGAAAGAAAGCAATATCGAACTTTTTTTATAAACTGCGTATGTAAGACAAAAGTACACAACAAATACAGTAGAACTATTAAACTACTGTATTAAAACAAATTGGTATTGCAATCTATTTAGTTGAAGGATGATGATAAAAAATGTGTAATACCTTATATTTATTGTTTCTTAATTTTTGAGATGAAATTAAAGGTTTTTGGTTTAAGAGGATGCCCGAAAATGTGCGCCTCTGGCCGAAGGTGCGCTTCTCTGTGCCGCATGCTGTTGTTACCTCACCTCACCTCCACCTCCCCCTCCTCCCATTTTCCTCCTGTTTTCCTGCCACTTCGGCAGGATTTCCCCCTTCATCGTCCCCTCGACAGCTTCATAAAGCCAAGTGTTTGCGCTTTGAAGTTTCCGCTTCCGCAGTGAACAACCAAGCGTTGTTGTAGCTGGTTGTTGTTACTGGATGTTGTTGCTGTTTTTGTTGCCATTGCGGCACAGCATAAAACATACTTATTTTGAAGTTGGTGGCACATCCGAAAAACACCGAGAGACACACACTTTCGGGAAAACATTGATGCTCATGGAGAGAGCAAAAAATACAGCTAAATGTTCAGCAGGAATAATCTGCTGACTTTGTAAAATGCTAAACAAAAAACAAATAAATTTAATTGAATTTCTATTGGTTATTGAATAACATGTATTTTTTTCGTGCTATATTTTTTACAGTACAGAAAGAGTAAGCGAGAGTGTTTTTCACCTTTCAGCCGCGCATCTGTTGTTTAAATCACGCAAAATTTAAATTACAAATTTCCTCCCGTTTTCGGTGGGCAAACCCCCAAGCATCTAATTCAGTTTGGGAATTGTTTGCTTTCGGAGAAGCGAAGTGGCCGGGTAACTTAAGAGCAAATATTTAGTTGACTTTCGGAGCGCATTGCCGAAAAGTGGTTTGTTGATTGTTTAACGAAAGGCCATCATTTAATCACAATTATTTCAGCTCCTAATTGAAAACTCCAAGTTTCTCGACGGCGACCACTGGCAAATTAAATGAGGTCAGGGCAAAGTTTAAAACCTACTTGAACTCCGATCTTTATTCTCACTTTTTGTGCCATAAGTATTTGTACACGTTGCGGTCATAAATAACGAAAGATTCACTGAATTTTATTACGCACGTTACATGCGCCAAAACCAAAATAACAGAGTGTAAATAAAATTGTGGGAGGTTCGCCGAGGCGAAGGAAACTCGATATGAGTGAAAGCAGGGAAAACACTTTCACTTTGTGCCCATTTAAGGTCGTGTATGGTGGCATTTTCCTTCTGTACGTGCAATAAATAAGCGACTTATTTATGCCCCTCACACAGACAGCGCCAATAACAAAGTATTTGGGTTAGTAATGCCATTTACGAGGCAAAACAAACATAAACATAAAGCGAAAATGTAAAAAGCTCTGTTCATGTTTATATCGTATTCCTGCCGGTAAATCCGTCTTCAATGTAAGCTCTGCTAAATCTTAAAGGAAAATGCGGGGAACAAAAACAGAAACAAAAACAAAAAGCCAGCGGACGGACGAGCGTTCGTCTATTTAACTAACTGTGCATAATTCATAATTTAATTAAGAACTCGGCGAAATGAAAAAAGTTACACGAGGGACATTGACGCGCCCCCTCTCTGTCTTCTCTCCTCTCTCCCTCTCTGTCTCCATTTTATCCCCATTTTCCACATTTTCCCCCGTGCAGTTGTGTGTGTGTGTGCCTGTGAGTCAATGGCTGAGAAGCCCTGCTTTTCACTGGGAGGTGGTTAACGCTTTCCAGTGGGCGGTGGCTTGACATCTTAGCCATGTGGTGGTGGCTGCAAATGGCCAACTGCCAACGGGCCATAAGTCAAGGAAATCTCCGCGCCCGAACAACTAGATTTTCCGCATTCGGGGAATGCATAGAGAAAGCTCTGGCTGGGATTACAGACCAAGAGGTGTAAGAAGCTCGGCTAAGCCCAAAGTTGCATTTAAACTATGTGATTTAAGCTGGGAAAATATGATATATACAACTTCTAAAAAGAATAAGGTTTTAAATTTTATAATGAGCTATTATTTATGCATTAAAAATGCGTATGAATTACATTTTACAGAGAGGTAATTAAAACTTTATTTATTTCCTTTGTTATATAAGCTATGTAAAAAAGTATTACAATTTTCTGAGCTCAAACGATTATTTGTTAATTGTCCCATTAATGTTCGTAAATTAGTTACATAAACTAGCAAATATATTTCATAGAACCCATGCATCTTTTATTAGCGTCGACATAAATTCATGTTATAAATATTAAATTTGCCCACCAACAAATTACCGCACACTTCCGCCGCAAAGTCGGCAATTGATTAAAACGCATTCCAGTGGCGCCCGAAAGTTTTCACAGAATCAAAGCTGAAAGCCGCAGCTGGGGAGCAGAAAACGTCAAGCGAACAGCGGAAATTCCATTCAGACCGCAAACGATTGTCCCGAACATTGTTCGATTTTCCCAACCCCGCCCCCCTGGCCATTTTCCCCCCGCCTGCTGGCCAACTTGCCAACTTGTCGCTGCAGAACCTAACAAGCCGCACAAAAGACGTCCCTGCGACTTGGTCAGCTCTTCATTTGGTCAGCTGGTGACAGCGACCACCAACAACATCACCAGCAGCAAAGGACCAACACAGTTTGGCGGTTTTTCCAATCCCCTTTTCCCCCTTCGCCCTCTCCCTTTCGCTTTCCCCCAAACCCATTCGCTTTCCCCAGCGCTCCATGGTTAATTAACTTGCCTCGCATCGCATCGCATCGCGTGGACTTGCCAGCGAAAAATTCCTTTTGAGCGAGTTTCATTTTTATACTCCCTTCGCTGTGGCACAAAGTTAAACGCTTTGACTTGCGCAAGACAAAAGGAAAGCGATTTTCATCTA